GGGACACGCATTCCCTCTCGGTGGAATGGCCCTGAATGGCCCTAAATCACAAAATGGCCCCTCCATTACCCCCTGCCCCCACAGCTGCCTCCCCCTAAAGTCCCCACGGTGCATCGTCGCCCGCTGTGTGATCAGCCTCCTATATCGAGCATCCTCCCACGCTGCATCTCATCCTGAGTTCTGGGCCCCGACTACAAATACTACTCGTCGGCACGGATACTGATAAGGCACATGGTGACGGCATGCTGTGTAGTTGGCCATCACTGTCTGTCTGTCCTCAATCCGAGCTGACTAACGCCCCCAGGCACGCGTGCCTTTCCTACTGCTTCCTAGCACCAAGCCATAACGGGATGCCCGTCCCATCCAAGGCCACACGATGCCGCCAGGCGATGCGGAACAGACACACAGGCCATCATCCACGTAAGAAGCGTCAGAAGCACAATGTCTTGTCTTCAAGTTGACAGCTGTGGCTCCTCTGGCCGAAGCTCTGGCGGCGCTAACCCTTCCGGGCCTCTGGATGGGGTCCCTGTTTTCGGACCCTGCCGGAAATGCCAGTGCACATCGATGGGCATCCACCGCGTCTTCCTTGCCGTACGGTGCAAGGCAAAAGTCGGCGGAGGGTGGGCTCAGGACTCGGGCGTCGGTGTGTGCAACCTCCAGAGTCGCGACAATGGGCGGAGTCTTGGGCGGCGGGATGCTGGGTCGTGCGTGGACAGAGAAGCAAGAATATGTTTTCTTCCTTCTCAGATGCTCAGCTTCCCTCTGCGTGCCTTACTCCGTAAGATAGTCACCGCAGTAGGTACCTTAGGTTCTGCAAGGCACTCCGTCGGGTGTCTTAGATAATCAGGCACACAGTAAAGAACTGCGCAGACGAGGAATACCCGTCCAGCGGTGTTCTTCACCCGGGCACCACCACCCTCAGGGAAGAAAAAAGGGGGTCGTTGCCTGTTGCCTGTGCCGGACCGGTCGCGGCCAATCAGCCCCGCCGGTCAAGCCTCTCGACTTCAAGCCGCATGCGGAATCTCCAGCCAGGCGCATCACATGTCTTTTGTCCCTTCCCGTCCGCTCCGTCCCCCCTCCTGGCCCCGTCTGGTCTGGGTTGATCCGTCGTCAAATCGAAGTCTTAGTCGCTGTTGACTCTTACCGACCCCATTGCGGTGCAGACTTCGGCTCTCCGACACTTGTGCTAGACAAACAGTCGCTCGTCTTGGCCTGACTGCACTTGTCTCGTCTTGTCCTGCCGCAGTTCATCCCCACTGCGTCCACCCCGACGAGCGCCGCCGCCGACGACAAGCCAGCGCACTGGAGTTCGAGACCATCTTATGTCATCTCGTCTGCATCCAATCGACCGGGACCGTACCACTACCGACACCAACTCTACCACCGCTACTACCACCGCCTCTACCACCACCGCTCCTTTGTATATCTTTCCCGAGCCTCCCCGGCCAACCTACTCCTCCTCTTCTTGCTGCCTGTCGCTCTGGATGTACGCCTTGTCATACAACCGAGTGTCACTTGCTGCGTAGCCAACTCGGTCATCCGAACCTAGATCCAGAAGACGCCCCGTCCCCAATGTCTTCTTTGGTCTCCGAGTTCATCATCAACCCGGTCCTCCGGCAAGCACGCCGCTTTTCTGAGATTTCGAGAACCACTCTCGTCCCCGAGCCCGACGCTTCTTCCTCCGACAACCTCGCGGTTGCCAGCGACTCGGAAGCCCCCGCCCCTCGGCATGCGACCGATGCGCCTGCGGTGACTCCTCCGGACCGACCTCTCAGCGCAGATACTCTATCGCCGACCGTCGAAGCCGAGCAGCCCCCGTCCGAACCAGCACGTGCGCCCCCGGAATCCTTCCCCATCACCGTCCCGATGCAGGTCCCCAAGCGTGAGGCCTTGCCGGCCGACGATGGCATGGGCGCATTGCGAAAGCGCCTTATCGAAATCCAAGGCCAGGAGATACGGGGGGAGGAAAAGGCCAGGCTCATGCACGAGGTGCTGATGGAGGGCTACCGCAAGTCCCGTGTTGCTCCCCAACAAGGCGACCCGCCTGTGGATGCTCTGCCGGCCGGCGAAGCGTGGGAACAAACACTCCCATCGGGACCCCTGGAGTCCCTGAAGTTCTGGCAGCATCCTCCAGGGGAGCCATCCTCCCCGGAAAAGTTTGTGTTGACGGCAGAAGATGTCAGGCCAACCTACGCCCCTGCAAAGCCTACGATTCCTGGAGAGGTCGAGGGCGCAAGGGTTCTGGGCTGCCAGCACTACAAGCGCAACATTAAGCTGCAATGCTCGACTTGCAACAAGTGGTACACATGTCGGTTTTGTCATGACGCTGTCGAGGATCACACTCTCATTAGGAAGGAAACCAAAAACATGCTCTGCATGCTCTGTGCTTGTCCTCAAAGGGCGTCAGAGGTTTGCGTCAACTGTGGCGTGACCGCCGCTCGCTACTACTGCAACGTATGCAAGCTGTGGGACGATGATCCAACCAAGAGTATTTACCACTGCAGCGATTGCGGCATTTGTAGGAAAGGAAGAGGCATCGGGAAGGACTTCTTCCATTGCAAGGTGACTACACTCTTCTTTGCGCTACGAGGTGGACTACTGCTGACCCTGAGCTCTAGAAATGCTGTGCTTGCATCTCAATATCGATTCAGCATTCACACAAGTGTATCGAACGTTCGACAGACTGCGACTGTCCAATTTGTGGAGATTACATGTTCACCTCTCCCAAGCCTGTCGTGTTCATGCCCTGTGGTCACAGCATTCACAAGAGATGCTATGACGAACACATGTTGCGGTCATACAAGTGTCCAATCTGCAACAAGACTTTGTTGAACATGCAAAGCCAATTTCGCCAGTTGGAGTTGGCGATTCTGAGCCAGCCCATGCCTCCAGAATTCAGGGATACGCGCGCTACGGTTCTTTGCAATGACTGCAGTGGACGCAGCTCAGTACCTTATCACTGGTTGGGCCTCAAGTGCGCCATATGCACCTCGTACAACACGGTAGAACTGCAGATCAGCGGCGGAAGAGAAGGCGCAGCTACCGCACAAGCTATTCCCAGCCGCGGTGGAAGGGATGGGGCAACGACCACACGGCCACTTCCAATCGACCCTCCAACGCCTGCTGCCATTTTGGAGATGGCTGCAATCTTGGACAGTCCGTTGGCTGGGGCCACGGACGGCAGTACAGGGATCCTAGACCCTTCGTCAACTATCGCCACTGACGGGACTGCCACGGGCACCACCATTGGAAGGCGCCGACATTCTTCACACGCCTCAAATGAGGCACAGGCACGGTTCTTGGTGCTAGATCGCTTGGCAAGATCAGCCTCTCCAGCGCCTACACCCGGCCTACCACCGAGTCTCGCACGAAACCCTTTGCATGGCGCGATCGAGGAGGAGGAATCAGACAACGATATACTGAACCTTTGGGGTCGGTTTCAACGTAGGTCTGAAGAAGACAGCGATTCCATGTCTACCGACTTGGAGGAAGAGGACGATGAGTATGATGAGGAAGACGACGACGACGATGACGATGACAATGACTTCATGCTCATTGGTCACCGTTGATCTGGCAGACGTGCCGTCATGTTATGAATGATGAGGTGTATCGCTCGGGTTGTGCGACGGGATCGAGAACGGCGCAAAGGGGCATGTGACGGTATCATAGTCTGGACATACGGGTTTCATAGGTCATGGTTTGGATGGCGGGCATAGCTTTGGTTGGGTTCTGGATGCCGGCGTTCTCAGGAGGCCAGATTTGCCAGCCCTGAAGTGGGACATTGAATTTCGTACACCCATGGAGACTGGGTTCTAGGAAGTCTCCATAATAGAATATCAACGATTTTGAACAAAACCAACGCCAAAGAACGCCGTGAAATCGTTGTTTCCGTCCATCCTAACCGTCTCCTAATGTTGTGACTGTCATGATCAAGCGCCTCGGGTAGACCATCGTGTATCCTCCCTCATCGACGACGGGAAGCAATCTGCGCATCCACCTCTTGGGCCTCCTTCCTCAACTCCTTGACGACAGTCTGAATAGTACACACATGAGCTTGGGGCGTTTGCACGGCACGGTACATCCTACTACTTACTGCCAGAGCCTCGGGGTTGACACCATTCTCAATCATGGAGATGCAGATTGAGAGCGTGCGGCGGTCCAGATGGCAGTTCTTCACGTGAAAATGGTCAGAGTAAGATCTCCAGGAGCGTGAGCCAGGCGCGGCAGCGAGGACTTACGAGAATGACAGAGATCTCGTGGAGGATGTCGACAGCCTGCTGTGCGGCAGCCTGCTTTCCGGTCCTGTCGTCGGCGGGCATTTTGTGAAATGGCGATTATCCTCGGTCTCGGAGTCTCATGGGCAATGCGTCAGGGGAGTGAGACGTCGGGGCGCGGCGAGATGCAGTGAGGTGGGTGATGTTCAGTTACCGCCATCAAAGGTGCTCGCCTACCTTAGTGTACCTACCCAAGGTACCTAGGTAGTGTTTAGCGGAAGCGGGGCCACCTTAGTCGGCGTGGGCCGAACCAAACGCAAACGCGTCGGACGCGCTGGTGCAGAAAGCTCTTTGCGCGGTGCAGGGATTGGCTGGGTCCCAAGGTGGACACCGCAACTACCGGAAATGGGCGTTGCATTCGCGCCTGTGAGCCGCGATTGACCGAACTTTTCCTCTTTCTCAGTCTCAGTCGCATGTCTCACCCGTCCCATCTCGTTATGACACCAATCTTGCTGCGAATGCCAGCATTTGCTTCTTTTTGACGCCTGTTCTCTTGGATATCGACCGTCAACAGGCAGCCATATGGTCACCGACTGTGCCTAGTCCGTCACCGTCCACTAAACCCAACCATCGCATGATGCAACACACGCCGTCGTCTTCTCACGATATGCTCAGTTTCTCACGGACATATTGCTTGGATCTAAGGGAAACGACCGGGTCTAATGGCTGACGTACGGGAAGAGACCAGCCGCTTGTACGGCCCCCCAAGAATTACAATCGTTCCTCATGAAGGCCTCGAGGAAGGACCGCCTCAGCTGCATGCCAGCCGTGTTCCAAGTCTGGGTAGGTCGGCCGCCAAAAGCCTGTCTTTCACGATACTGACGCCGGACCAGCTCGAGCCCTTCGCATCATTCAGCCTTTGGAAACATTGTACCCCTCAGCCAGATCTACGGAGAACGCACCTGCCTCGACTGCGTGGGACTCGCAACGTGTGCAGAGACGATGGCTATTCAACGCCCACCCGGAAGCATTCATCGGAAGCTCCAATGCTGCCGGCTTCTTGGCTGAGGGCCTCTCTCAGATGATGCGCCCCGACGCCACCCCCACGGCACAACCGCTCATGACCATTAGCCAGATGGCAGACGTTAGTAACCACACTCGCATCTCCCCGGTTCCGGTGGTGGCCATGGCCACTGGCGAGTCTGGGGAGCTTCTTCGGCTATCTAGGCTGGACGAGACGAAATGGCAGTGGGGTGAAGACGAGAATCCTACGCTTCGTCTTTTGAACGTCGATCAACAGGACAGGGAGGAGACTGTATTGTGGTCTAGTGACGGAGCTCCTATCTTGCAACTCAAGCCTGCGCTTAGCTTGGTGCGATTCGAGCCCACTCGATGGCTGCTGGTGCAAAAAAGGACATCAACCACAGTCCTCCAGCCGGAGTACCACAGGATTCCAGTATCAGAGCGTCGGCCGGGTATTGACAAGGCAGTTGAACGCCCCTCCCGAATTAACCCAAAGCCCATCTTGACCATCACCTCGGAGCAGACGGGCGGCTTTCCACACTCCGATGTCTCCTTCAGTTACGGGTCTCAGAGGAAGCCTCCACAGCTGGCCATCATCGACGAGTGTGGCTACTATAGTGTCTGGGATGTCAAGGGCCGAGACATGGTCGGGTCAACAAGCAAGCGTGCCAAGTTAAGACACTGCGGACAGATTCAGCTGGGCATCACGGAACAGCTGCCTGACGAAGACTCGCCAGCCTTCCGCGCAGAGCCTCATGGGCTGTTGTGGATCGGTGCCGCCGGCGTGGGCGTGGATCTTTGGGATATCCCCGCCATCGAGGACCTGGAAATGGAGAATGATTTGGCGGCGATGACTGCACGGTCCAAAAAGCTCATGATCTGGAACCGCACAAAGTTCGAGGTGATTGACACAAAGGACCCAAGCTACCGGCACAGCTTGTCGATACTCAAGTCGGATGTGCCGGATTACATCCTCGATGTAAAGCCAAATCCAGTGAATCGCAGTCAAGTGGTCGTTCTCACTACATCGGCTCTTTTCTGGATTGAAACATCGTCACCGACGGCGGTCAAGACTGGAGGGCTTGCCATACTCCAGTCATTCGCACATCTTCGAATCTCAGATGCCGACTCTCTGAGGCTTACGGTTCATCATAGTGGACATGGACTGGGCAACGAGAGTTGCATCGCTTATCTTTATTCGGAGAAGTCACCAGAAGTTGAGCTGTTTTGGTTATCCATACCCGAGAAGACGGGCCTGCCCCAGTTTCAGCATTTTATGATGATGCTCGAAAAGGGGCCCGGCGAGAAGCCGCTGAAGATACAGACTCTGTGTCCAACTCCAGCCTTCTTCACTAGCCAGTCATCGGAACCGCTCAAGGGCCTCGGTGCGGAATACCTAAATCAGCAGGTCGGCTTCCAGCAGTTGTTCGTTCTCGGAAGGGATTTGGCTTTAGAGCAAACCATCTTGGCTGTCACATCAAAACCCGACCTTGAGATCATCCCGCCAGACTACAGTCGCGACTGGTCCAAAGATGCTCGAAGGAGGGCCCACAAAAGGAGGCGGAAGCAATTTCTACATTATTTTGGAGATACGTTTGTAGTGCCTGATGGATTGGGAGACATGGACGAGCTCGTGCAGCGTCGTGCCACTCGATACCAAGAAATCTTGCAGCAAACTCAGGGAGGAGATGATGAGCAACTACAGCAGCGATGGCCAAGGACCCAGAATTTCAACCTTTTCCTGTCTCGAGTCGCCATGTCCATCGATTCAGTCGTCATGGCTGCTGAAACGCCTAGCATTGAGGGCCCCCTATCTGTCTTTGACGCCATCCAAGATGCCACGGTCAATTGCCTTGATACGGAGGGAGGCTACATCCCTTTGCACACTTTGTGAGTCCAGCATGAAACGAGATGATAAGTCTCGGTTTATTAACATCTGTTAGGCACGAGTATGAGGCGACATTTGAAGCACCTCCAATGGGCAACGAAGCCATCGCCGCTTGGGACGCGCGTCTCCAGGAATTTTTCGACGTCAACGATCAACGCATCGTTGCTCAGCCATTTACATCCCAACTCTTACGCCAGGGAGACGCGACACCTTTGGCGGACATCCGCCACAAGCTCGAAGAATTATGGAACTCGCCGGATCTCCCCGAACGCGCACAGCACTCTCGCAGCGTCGTGCTCGCCGAAACCGCAGAAGCGATCGCGAGATCACTCTTCGGCGTGGCGGTCCTCGACGAAAACATCCCAGTCGCAGAAGACGAGCCGTCCACCTGGGTTCCAACGCCACCCGAGCTGCAATCTCGGCAGCCGAGCCAGCGCCTCTCAATGTCCAGCCAGAGATCCTCGCTAGGAAGCCAACGTCTATCAATGTCGCCCTTCAAACCACGCGACTCGATGTCTCCGATCAAAGCATCACGGCCAATGCTGTCGCCGATCAAGCCGCGGCTCTCCATGTCCCCCTTGAAACCCCGCCGCTCAATGTCCCCTATGAAATCCCCCTCCAAACCCTCCTCCTCGGCGCCGTACTCCTCAAACCCCTTCTCCTCCTCACAACCACAGTCCCAATCCTCTGCCGCCTCCGCCGACGCAGCACTGGCCGCCTCGAGCGCCCTCCAACGCCTGAGCATGCTCGCTGCAGACATCAACACGACAGAGGGCCCGACCCGCCAGCATACGGTCCTCTCCTACTGGCCCACCAGACGCGGCGTGCCGACAGAGAACTACGTCTCCTCCGTCCTTGCCTCCTCGACAAAGCACATGGACGCCATCAAAGAGCGCAAGGAGCGCATCGAATCCAAACGCCGCAGGCGCAAGTCGCAGCTCGCCTCGTCGCAGACGGCAGCAGCAGCCACGCAGTCCGAGATGGAGGACTCCGGGCCGGCGGGGAGCGCGAGCGTGCCGCTGCCGTCGGAGGCCCCCGCAACGCAACCGCTGCCCAAGTTTGCCGCGCCGCCAATCATCGGATCGAGCCAGGTCTCGCCGATGCGGTCGTCGCAGGCCGTCATGTCGTCGCAGATTCCGCAGGTCATGTCGCAGCCGATACCCGGACGGCACGCGATGCGGTCCCCGAAGAAGAAGGGCAAGAGAAAGTCTGGTTTCTGAGGCTGCGGACATTTGCTTCGGTACTTATTTTTTGAGGGAAAAAGGTGTTTTGGTTCATTATTCAATGTTTGGCTCTATACCGTAGCGATGGTTAGGCTTGTTGGAGATTACTACAATACCCCCACGCAATGTTTTTTCTTCAAATCACTCTTCATACTCCTCGCGTGACTGTCTTCACTGCCGTCCTCCGATACCCCCGCCAACCTGATTGATCCCCGTGCCCTTGAGCTTGTGATCGCCGGGGTTCGCCGCCGCCTCATATATGATGTTAGTCGGCGCGCGGCCGAGCTGCATCCACTCGCCCTTGAAGCCGAGGTAGCTGACGCGGGTCTCGTCCTCGTCGCCGTCGGAGGAGTTGTCGACGAAGAAGAGGGTGAGGCGCTGGACGCGGCCGAAGAGGGCGCGCTTGACGGGGATCTCCTGGACCTGGGAGGTGCGCGAGAGCTCGAACTCCTGGGTGGGCGCGGCGTCCTCGGCGGAGGCGAAGTCGAGGTCGTCGCGGTTGATGAAGACCTTGAGGGTGCGCGGGGCGGAGGGGGAGTCTGAGGTGCGCAGGAGGAGGGCGTGGAGCTTTACTTGGCCGGTGAAGCTGGGGGGTCAAGTGTGTTAGTTTGGTGAGTTTTGGATATGGTGGTCGATTATGAGCATGGGTAGGGTGAGATGAGGTGAAAGTTGATGTGTGGAATGTGAGGGTGAGCAGGCGGTTGGCCTCGGCTCAGTCACGGTGACTCGGATTCTGGGGTCTCCAAAGTGATGTTATGACAGCAGGTGCAAGACGGTAGAAATAATAGAAAACGTACGGGATGTTGACCAACAACTGCTCATCCGCATCACTCACGACCTCGGGCTCTGCGTCCAGCCTCTCGGCCCACGTCTTCTTCGCGACGCTGCGCGCGCTGCCGATCTGCGACTCGTTGAGGGCCGTGACGTCGTCGAAGTTGATGTGGCTGTAGAGAGAGTGCTGGAGCGCGGGCGTGATGTCGTCTGAGTGGTCGTGCTCATCGTGGCCGCCGTGGCTGTGGTCGTGGTGTTCGTCGTGGCAGTGGGACATTTTTGGCGGACGAGGTGGGGATGGAGGGGCAGAGATGGTTGTTGGGGTTTCCAACTTGACGCCGTAGGTGAATGAGACTTGCAGTTAGGATGGATGTGGCACAATGTGTTTGACTTTGGACGGCTTGGAGGCATGAAAGGGTGTGTGAAAGATGTTCGTCGTTCGTTTAGTTGATGGATGAAAGATGCAAGTGACAAACGGACCCCGCCATGTGCGAAAGGTTGGAATGTTGGTCTCTGATTGGCTGGTTTGCCACAGCTCTCATCCCTGAGTATCCGAGTGCTGCCAAACAATGGGCAAGGTGCTTGAACAACTAGATCAGCTTCTAGGGGAATGAAGTCTTGAGAACTTTCAATGAGTTAGAGAGTTCTCGTTAAATTTCCCAATTTTTCAAACATCCATGCTATATTTTTAAGATGTATGTAATTCGACAGAAATTCGTTGAGAGGACCATGACATAAGACACCCCTCAACCCGGCTCAACATGCTTTACTTGAAGCTGCAGCTGAAAGCATCCGAGTTCCAAATTATACAAAGAGGCAGAGTGTGTCATCCTAAAACTTCTTCGGATATCATTCAAGCTTCTCATATGTTTTTGGCGCATGAATCGGCCCGGACGCAAATTAGCCTTGCAGCAAGCGCAGAAGTCAGGTGGAGTTTAGTTCTAAACTTGGCTCGTCATGAGCGTATTGGGAGAGGTATCAATTCGTGGACGTGGCAGACGGGTGGTATCGAGATTTTGATTTTGTGTAAGCCATGCTCCGCAGTAGCCTCAATTACCCAAGCTAGTGGACTCCTACTGAAGGGAATGCAATAGGACATTGACCCTTTACCTCATAGAACGATAGAGGAATCATGGAATAAGATTTGTGAGCTTCAGTGGGTGTGATTCAATTCACAGGATGCTCTTTTAAGCTGCTGGCCTGAATGATGTGCTAGAAGCTAGCTAAGCATACACATCCACCCTTGCTTATTCTTTAAATACGCCTTCACTGATGTTCTCCTCGATTTTGAGGAGAACGATTAAAAGATGGTGTCTCCCTCGTCATTCATTCAGTCTTGAACCTCGTGGGAGAATCGGTGTGATATTACTCACAAGATTACCTCTTTTGCGGAGTCTGGTCCTAGAAGCAAAACCGGCGTGGATTCTGCGGCATGAAAACGCGCACAGTGAGCGCGATGAGGACGGACAGAGCACAAAGACATGCTCTGAACAATGAAAACATGCCCAGAAGCAGAGGCAGTCAGCCACTTAACCTACCTAGATGGAGGCACTGCACTGTCCCAAATCGCTGCTTGCGGCTCTGCCGTCTTTGTTCACGCTGGCGGTCTCTCTTCCAAACGGTAGCCTCACTTTCTGACCAGCTGTCAATGAAGCCGAGGTGAAGTCAGATCAGCTTGCCCACTTAGGATAGAGAAGTTTTTCATTAATAGTATGGCCATGAATTGTGCCGTAGCACCAAGTGCTCACGGATTACATCTCACATTAGACGAGACGAAGTGTTAAGCTACTTTTTGTCATTCCATTGCCTTTGCAGTCCCGTATTTACAACCAGGATCGAGTTACTCTACAATCAAGAACCGATTTACCAACCATCCCAAAGCCTAAAAAGCCAGTCGCGGTGGTATCATATTGAGCCAAATGTGCCTCTCCCTTCTTTGTCCAAAGAGACAGAATTGTTACTGCTGTGGTATTTCCCTTTCCGGATTTTTCCCCTTCCTAACGCCGATTTTAATGCACATCATGGCAGGCCATTCCGGGTTGGGAGGCCAAAAAGGACGCCAAAATACAAAGCCAAATCCGTCCCATATGCAAGATGACCGAAAGCTATACTAATGCTGCTTTACTTGCTGCCGGGGGCAGGGAACACGAAGCCAGGAGGGTACTGGGGCATGCCATTGGGAAGGGTGCTGATGCCGAACGGGAACTGCTGAGGAAGGGGTTGAGCGTTGGCTCCGGACGCCTTGCCATCCTCACGGCGATCGCGGCCACGGCGGTCGCGGCCAAAGTCATCGCGGTCGTCGCCATCATCGTGACGGCGAGTGGAGCGGGGTCCGTGGTTGCCGCTCTTGTCAGTCTGCATGCGACGGCTGATGGCCTTGGAAGAGACGCCAGCACCGATCTCAATGTCGGGCTCCTCGACGACGAGGCCCGTCTCGATGGGTCTGCCGCCGCTTCCACCATACTCGGCAGTCAGCATCCACTTGCGGTCAGCCTCTGTGAGCTTGGCAATGGGAATGATGCTAATGCCGGTCTGGTAATCACTGCAGTCACGCGGGCCGAAACCAACACCCCAACGGGTCTGTGTTTGTTAGCTTGAGACATCAAGGGGTGGAGAATGCAGTAAACTTACCCGAAGCTGAGGATCGCCATCACGGTTGGCTTCCATGGCCTCCTTGGCTCGAACAGCATCTTCACGACTGATCATCTTGACGAAAGCATGGCGCTTCTCCTTGTTGACGATGCAGGTCTGCACCTGACCGTACTTGCTGAAAACCTCACGCAACTCGCGCTCAGTGTAGCTAGCTGAGGTGTCAGTATGGTTGGGTGACAGTATAGAAGGTAGTACTTACGCTACTCCGCCGACGAAGAGGGTACGGCTGAGAACCTTGATCCTTCCATTGGGAAGGGAACGATCAAATTCAACCCACTTATCACCGGAGTTGCGGCGGGGAGTAGGACTACGGCCGTTTCTGCCGACAGGACTGCGTTGACGATAGTCACTGCCTCGTCCACGGCCGTCTCGGTCGTCTTGGCGACTGCGGTTGGGCGACTGGCGGTAGTCATCACGGCTGCCGCGAGGAGAGCCACGGGCGGGGCCGCGAGAGTCCCAACGGCGACCAGGGGACCTAGAGCGAGAGCGGCCGTACCCGCCGGGGGAACGAGGACCCTCGCCGTACCGGTGCTGGTCACGGCTGTCGTTGGATTGGACGGGTCCGCCCCATCCCTGTCCGGTGGCGTTCGCGTAGGGGTTGTGCGCCGCAGGTGTGGCTGAAGCACCAGGCGCAGGCTGAGCAGCATTGAAAGAAGCCAGGAGACCAGGCAACTTGTCCGCAGACACACCGGCATCAGTAAACATCTTGAGGAGCTGGGCCACTTGCGAGGCCTGAATACCCTGAGCTTGAGGAGCCGGCGGCTGAGGCGCGGCAGCACCAGGGAACGGCATGCCGAATGGCATCTGGGGCGGAACAGGGGGCTGAGGCATCGCGAAAGGGAATTGCGCAGCCATAAGGGCAGGAGTTGCGGCAGCAGCAGCAGGCTGCGGGTAGTTTGCCATGGAATAAGGGGGCTGAGCGTAGTTGGTAGGAGGGGCAACCTGCTGCTGGTTCTGCTGCTGATGCCGGGCAGCAACATTTTGAAGGTTGGCCAGGATGCTGGATGCACTTTGGAGCGCGCTCTGAGATGTTGCCTGAGGTGCAGTCTGGGGAGCAGCTGGAGCGGCAGTGGGAACCGAAGCAGGCGGCTGGGGAGGTTGAGGAGAACCTGCGTTGTTCTGTTTGGCCAAGTTGGCAAGAGCTGCTATGATGGCATTGCTGCTCTGAGCAGAAGGGGGAGGAGGTTGAGTCGGAGCGGCCGGTCGGTTGGTGTTGTAGCCCATGAATGCGACCAAGCCTGGGGGGGGACTACCCTCCGGCGTGGTGGACTGGGCTGCAGGTGATAGTATGTTAGTAAAATGGCTATCAGGCTTTGACGATGGGTGTAGAATGATACCCATCATCTCGTGGGAAGACATACTCGGCTCAGGGGCGGCCTTCAACTTCTGGCGGAATGACTCGAGCATTGTAGAGGGGAACGTTGATCCTTTTTCCCAAATGTCCAGGAGCTTAGAGATCTTATCCTATGAGGTACGAAATTCATGTAAGTAGTTGGTCTTCAAGGTCAACGAGGAGCGAGCAGTAGCGTGTCAGCAATACGTGATGTGCTCATCTTCACAAGTATCGCAGTCTTTGTGTGTGTAGATCCAGGCCTTCAAGTGTGAGACAAAAAATGAAAGCGCAGGCTTGCAGCACTACAACGTTCGATGCGTAGATTGGACATGGAGCACAAGCACTCCAACTGTTCTCGAGAATTAAGCGTACCTTTTGGCCCTCGGGCAACAGCTGCAGCATGTCATTCATAAGGACAGGCATGAGCTCGGTGACCCGGTGAACACCAGCAGCAAAGGTTCCATCAGAAGCAGAACCATCAACATGCTGACCAGCAGACTTCGCTTGCTCCACCCACTTTCGAGTCACGGAGTCAACGACGTAGAGGACGCCCAGCTTGTGGGAGATGGGGGCCTTCTTGAAATGCATGAACAGCTTCTGAACGATAATAGACTCAGACTGCGGGAAAAAATATTGAGGTTAGTTCTAAGTCACCAGGCACTGGCGATGCGAGAGGCGCGTCAACAATCGTACCTGAACATTTTCGACACAGATCTTGGTTATGACACCAATACGGGATCCCGATACACCAGGAGGTTTGAGGGTGAGCATGGTCTGGAGACCCTCTTCTAGGTCCGCAAGTGCGGAAGCCATGGTGCTGGCGTTGTTGCGACGATGGCGACGGCGATGTTGGGCGTGGTGTTGTTGTTTTTCAAGGGTAGAAGTGAATCCAATCCCAGTTGCAAAAATACGAGGGACGGAGGAAGGCAGGCGAGTGCAGGCAAGAGGAAAGAGAGAAAGCCTGCAGTGGCCAGCAGCCGAAAAAGTCTGCGCAAGAAGTGCGCGGTGGGCGATTTACTGGTTGGTGGGTGGGAAGAAGTTGTGTGTACGTGAAGTCCCAAGCGGAAGGCGAGGAGTCAACTGAGAGCCACCCGACGTTCCTTCCACAGCAAGAGCAGGAGCACCTCAACGATAGTTCGTCGCTCTTTCCCCCAGTCAAAGTGTAGGTAGGTAGTGTAGTTTCTGTGATTTTACAAGCCGCAGACCGAAAATCCCACAGGTCGCAGACCTGACCTCTCTCTCTCAAAGTACGAACGATGCGAGTCTCTGGATTGGATGACTCTCTACTTGTA